CTATATACAATTACTTAAGATTACAATGAAGAATCAAAACATGAATCACTTCTTATAAATAGAACAATAAGCTAAAAGATCTATGAATGATTCCCATCAAAACAGAAATGATAAGGACTATTTTTACTCAATATGAATCCATTAATTAAAAAATTGATAAGAAATAAACAATATCTTTACAAGCTTATTAGTATATGCCTTAAAACAAATTAAAACAAAAACCTGTTACATACACAGAAACTCAAACATACTTAAAAGAAGAGAATACACAGTTATATATTTTGCGACAGCAAAAGATTTTAATAAAGTACTCAAATAAAATATCTTTTTATATAAAGTGTTAAAGGATATTTTATTATAGATCTACAACAATAGAATAAAATTATAGAAGAAGTAAATATTTCATATTAAGAGAGACATAGAAAAGCAAAACATAGAACTAGTTAATGATAGGTTCCTAAAGTATTAGTATATAAAATTTTATAGATTACTTATGTCCTTTTTTGAGGAACAAAATTCATAGCTCTTTACTTTAATAAGGATAAAATTTAGAAAATGCTATAAATCAATGATTTGAATAATGAAGAATAATTGTGAGTAGTTTTTTTATAATTATAAATTTAAAAATTTTAATGTTTACTGTGTGAAATATTTGGCTTTTGTCCCTGCCTCCCTCTTTAGAAACCCATTTTTAGAACTAGCAGTATTTACCTTGAAAAAACAGATGAATCTAATACAGATTAACATAACAATCACTTGGATAGAATAGATATTAGATTTAATAGAAAGTTTATATTGAGAAAAATCCCTATATAAAAATTTGATTCTAGATATGATATAGAAAACTTTGATATAGAGTTTAGAAAAAGAAGATCAAGATTTTATAGAACAATACAAGAAATCCAAAACAAGGACACAATTAACAACCAGTAATAAAAAGCAACAGAAAACTGATCAACACACAGAAAAGAAGATATAGAAGATATAATTCCAGAATCTTCAATAATGTAATCACTGAATCTGAAATAGAACAAAATCCATTGCAACAAATTCTATATAGTTTAAGCAAACTAAATAGTAGAATAAGTTGCATTGAAAAAGAGATTCAATCCTATTCTAGATCTATAAAATAGAAAAGAGCTAATTACTCTTAAAGATTGTACCAGTTACTAATTGAAAAATATTTATTTGGTATATATAACATTTGTTAAAAAAATAAATAATTTAGCATATTAATGATCTAAATAAATCATCAATCAATTTTAATTATATGATTTAGTATAAATACTATAAATCATTAATAAATTTCTATCATATAAATTATTAATCAATTTCTACTATATAATTTAATATTATTTGTCATATAATTTGCACCATTTATACTATATATTTCATTAAATTTTTTCTCAAAAAATCATTAAACATTTATCAAAATTCACAAATTTACTAAATTTTTAATTATATATAATATTTATAATTTAAAGAAATTACAGCTAAATATTTATGAGAGTTTTGCTGATTTGAAGTTCAATATCTAAATAAAATAAACAATCAAAAATATTATAAATAGGAATTATGCATTTATATCTAACTGGGTAAAATTCAATATTTCACAATTTAACATTTGCATTATTTTCAAATCCAAAATAAAATCTATTTTTTGTCAAATTAACCAGTTTGTACCACTGAATAAAGACCAATTAATGCTTAATAATATTATTCAGAAAGTTTACCAAATATATAAAGAAGAATTAAATTTGTCCCAAATATAAATTAATTCTTATATTGTGATTCACAAATCTAGTTAATATAAATGAGCTTTTAATATTTCATGAAGACATAACAGAATCAAATATTTCACTTCCAATTTAGCATCTATCATATTGATTTGCTCTATTCTGAATAATTATTTAATTTTTATTATCTTTCATAAATAATCTCTGAAAGTCTATAGTTTCATAAAATGCCTCATGGTATTTGACTAATAGATCTAATATTTTGATAGATACATTTAAATTTGGTTTTTTCAAATGCAAAAGTTCACCTGAAAAATGTTTGAATCCATTGATTATTGTTTTATAAATATTATATATATCATTTAAAAATTGATATAACTTGTCAGCTGAAAATGATTTAGTTCAGAAATTGAGCCAATTATTTAAAATTTCAAGTCCTTGATTATTAAAATAGGATATATAGTCAAACCCCATTATACCGAAGTGATTGAAGAGACATACTGTATATAATTCGTTATAATAAGAAATTTGATAAAACGAAATATTTTTTTATAATAAAGTTTAAAATAAATTAAAAATATTTAATATAAAATATTATTTAATATAAATAAAATTTATTAAATTATTAAATAAACGCTAATATATAAAAAAACTATAAACTAAATTAATTATTAAAAAACAAATCCAATTTAGATTGTTTTTGACTTGTAATATTGTATAATTCTACCTTTTGTTTTAATATACGAAAAACTTTAAATTCATTATAATCTATCTCTATATTATCTTGTTGAAAAAAATTAAATACTGTTTCAAATGCAATTATAGTATCTTTAGTTAAAATAATGAAACTTGATAAATTATTTTCTTCGTTTTCTTCTTCTTCTATAGGAGAAAATAAAGATATAATTTTTTCATCAGTTAATAAATTATTATCTATAACAATATCATCAATAGATATATATTCTGTAGTATTTAATCAAGAATCTATTGGTAATTTGTTAATTAAATTCTGAATAATTTCTTGTTGAGATATAATATTATTTATAGTATTATTGTTAAATAAATCATTATCTTGAAAAGATATGATTCCAGTCTTTTCCCAACAATTACGAATTGTAATTGATGTAACACAATCCCATGCTTTACTTACATAATTAATTGTCTTTTTAATATTAAAAGGTTTTGATGTATTATTGATAGCTAGCATCTTATCAAAATCTTTGATGTTTTTTTTAAGAAATAATTTTCGATAATGTGCCTATAAAAAAATTAATTAATATATATATTTTTTATAATAATAATATTAATTACAAATAGCTTACAAACCTTAAAACTATATATAATTCCTATATCTAATGGTTGCAAGTATGCTATTGTATTGGATGGTAAGTAGTGAATTTTTATATTTGTTAATTCAATATCAATGGAATTATGAGTTGATGCATTATCAACTAATAATAATATTTTTCAGTTTGCATTATACATTCTTATATTTAATTTTTTTAAATAATTATTCCATATAGAAGTAAGCATCCACGCTTGATTATTCCAGTAATAATTTACAGGCAATGATGATTTATTAATTTCTTTTAATACACGGGGATTTTGATATTTGTAAATAAATAAAGGTATTAATTTTTTGCTTCCAGTTGCATTACATATTAATAGAATAGTAACTCGATCTTTATCTTGTTTTAATCCAAATATAGGTTTAGTTGATAATCCTTGTTTAGGTTCCATTTTCCAATAGAAACCTGTTTCATCACAATTGAAAACATCATTGGATTGATATTGTTGAATAATTACTTTTAAATTAATTCTTATCTCTAGAATAAGTTCAGTTGGTACACTTTGAGCTTCACCATATTTGTTAAATATACTAATATTATATCTTTTTTTAAATCTTTGAAGCCAACCAGATGAAGCTTTAAAATTGATTATATCTAATAATGTTACAAATTTTAAAGCTTTTTGTTGAATTAAAGAATCTGTTATAGTTATATTGTATTCAAGTACCTTTTCAATCCACACAATCAATGCTTCTTCAATATATACCACAGTTGATAAACAGATTTTTTTTAAGTTTGCTTGATAAAAATTTGGATCAATTGCTAACCATTTCTCAGATTCTTTTAAAATATCGAAAACTTTTCCTTGACTAATTCCAAATTGTTTTGCTAATTCGATATTTTTTGATCTGGATCCACTTCTTTTTAATAAACAAATTTCATATTTTTGCAATGCTGAAATAATATTTCGTTATGTAATTTTCTGTTGAGATATTTTTTTTGAATATGATTTTGAAAAAAAAACATATGGTAATTTATTACTTTTTATTATACAATAAATTTATTTAATAAAATATATTTGTGTTAAAGGTATAACATGCATAATTGACACTTGATCGCACAAGCTTCAAATTGACGAATTAATAATAATTATGAAAGGTCATTATGATATGTTGCCATAGTCCTCATAGTCGTATATATTAGTGATATTAGAAGTATACAATAATAGTTAGTTGATATTATATAAGAATAATTATAAAATATAATATTTGTTTATTGAACGAATTTAAAAAAATGAATTACTTATTATATCAATTACTATTTTGTAGACATGCATATATTTATTAATTATTGACTTTGGGGAGAGTATTTATTTCTTACTAAGTGAAGTACTATTGGCTAATCAGGATAGACTTGAGTATAAATATACCTGTTTGGATCCAAAAGATGATGAATTATGCCTGAATAGGGTGAAGCCTGAGGAAACTCTGGTGGAAGCTCGTAGCAGTTCTGACATGCAAATCTATCGTCAAATTTGGGCAAAAACTCATTAAACAGTTTTATTAGATAAAGCAAATGATTAGAGGCCTTAGGGTTGAAATAGCCTTAACTTATTCTCAAACTTTAAATATGAAAGAAGCTTCAGATTACTTAATTATTTAACCTGGGCATTTGAATAAGAGTTTCTAGTGGGCCATTTTTGGTAAGCAGAACTGGTGATGCGGGATGAACTGAATGTGAGGTTAAGGTGCCAGAATTCATGCTTATTTAGATACCATAAAAGGTATTAGTTCATCTAGACAGCAGGACGGTGGCCATGAAAGCCAGAATCCACTAAGGAGTGTGTAACAACTCACCTGCCGAATGAACTAGCCCTGAAAATGGATAGCGCTCAAGCATGATACCCATACCTCACTATTAGGGTTTTATTGAAGTTCTGACGAGTAGGTAGGTGTGAGGATTTGGTTAAAAAGTCATGGGCATGAGCCTTGATGGAATGGTCCTCAGTGCAGATCTTGGTGGTAGTAGCAAATATTCAAATGTGATCTTTGAAGACTGAAGTGGGAAAAGATTCCATGTGAACAGTATTTGGACATGGATTAGTTGATCCTAAGAGATAAGTTAAATCTATTTTAACGTGAACTTTTTTTCATTTCTACTATCGAAAGCAAAGCAGGTTAATATTCCTGTACCTAGATGTGGATTTATCAATACGGTAACGTAATCGAACTTGTTAATGTCAGCGAGAGTCTCGGGAAGAGTTCTCTTTTCTTTTTAACTGTCAATTAAACCTTATAATTTCGGTTTACCCAGAGATACAGTTTAAAAGCAGGAAGAGTTCGACACCTATGTTGGGTTTAATATGCTCCCGATAATCCTTAAAAAATCAAGGAAAAGAATTATTTTCATGCCAGGTCGTACTCATAACCGCAGCAGGTCTTCAAGGTGAACAACCTCTAATTGATAGAATAATGTGGGTAAGAGAAGTTAGTAAATTAGATCCGTAACTTCAGAAAATGGATTGGCTCTAAGGGTTGGGTGTATTGGACCTTGATTTGAAGGTCTGGGATTTCCTTGATACTGGAGGTGAGAAATTACTTTTGGAAGCTTGGACACCTAGTCTAGAAGATTTTAACTTAAGTGAGAAATCACCTATCCAGTGTACGCTTAACAACCAGCTTAGAACTGACACGGACAAGGGAATCTGATTGTCTAATTAAATATGTCATTGCGATGATCAGAAAAGTAGTGTTGACACAATGTGATTTTCCAGTACTCTGACAATGTGAAGAAATTTAACTGAATGCAAGTAAACAGCGAAGTAACTATAACTCATTTAAGATAGTTAATTGCTTTGTTATCTAATTAGTAATGTATATAAATTAATTAACAAGGCTTTCACTGTTTTTACCTACTATCTAGTAAAACCACGGCTAAGAGAACGGACTTGATAAAATCAGCAGAGAAAAAAGATCTTGTTAAGCTTGACTCTAGTTTGACATTATATAAAGATATAGAGAATGTAGAATAAGTGGAAGGGGCAACTCGTCAGTAAAATATTATTATTACTTTTATCATTTTTTTACTTATTCAATTAAATGAAGCTGGATCTTATTACTTGATTGATTTATTCAAGGCATCTGGGTTTGATAGAACCATAATTATAAAATTAAATGCTAGTTAATTGACCTATTACTCGTAACTATAAACTAAATGCTAGTTAATTGACCTATGTTATCATCTTGCAGAACATCAATAATTTATTATAATAATAATATATCACTATTATCATTTCACAAAACATTATTTAATATCATATGATTTTATTATAATAATAAGAAATGATTAGAAAAAAACATTCATAATCTACTATTTTTTATATCTGGTTCAATTAAGATTTTTTTTAAAAAAGTTTTTTTCTAGAAATCAATCTTTATAACTCAGACTAATTATAATTTTTAATTAAAGAAATTTAGCAATAGTTTGATATTATAAAGTCTGGAATTTTTATACATGATTCAGAAAGTTAATTTTATATAAATTTCAAAATCATTTACTACAGTCAATTATTATTTACCATTTATAATTATGTAAGGAAATTCATTATAAAGTGACTAGTAACTTATATGAAAATCCTATTCTCAAGACTTCGGTAATGGAATAATGAGGTTTATTATTAAATTTCGTAATAATGATTAAGTCTAAATATTAAAAAAAAGAGCAGAGATAATTGTTTTGATATAACGAATATTCAGTATAATGAATTTCGGTATAACGAGGTTTGACTGTAGTTAGATTAATAATTTAACAATTATTTATCAATCTTCATATTAATTTGGATTTAATATTTTAGTGACTATTAGGCAATAAATTTATATTAAAAATTCATTAAAATTCTACTTTCGAATATAAATTTATTCAAAAATCTATCTAATATACTATTCATTCTCTCAAATGAAAAGCACCAAAATGTATATAATGATTTATAATAATATGCATATTCATATAAATATAATGAAAAATGAAGATTCAGGGTAATTTTTACTTCATCATATTTTTGTTCTATTGATTTAATCATTACAACTAATCTTTTATAAGCCTCATTTAACAAATTTATCTTAAAATTTGGCATACTAAAATTTGACAAATCTTGATAAAATTTGTTAGAATTTGGTGATCCATATCTGAAAGATGTTTCTATAGAACAATAGTTGCATATATTGTGAAAAAATTTCTTCAATGATCAGCAGTAAAGTTCAAAAATCTTTCACTATTGTTTACTTTTCTTGAAATTTGATCAATATCTGATGGTACTTAAAAATTTTCCATCATTAATTGTATTTCATCCAATATATTATTTATTAGTATTTCTTCTTTGATTCATATTTATTTAAAGAGCTATTTACCAATATCTAAGAAAAGACAGTGCTTAGGATTGATAACTAAATACTGAATTGGATCAAAATAAGGTAGGTGAAGAAATTTGGATCATCTAGCATGATTCTTGTTGGCAAAATATTTTTATACTGCATTTGAGTTACAGTACTTCTATTTGATATAATTTTATTTATGTGATTCCAAATCTTTTAGTATAAACTATTCATTTATATTTTTCATACCATCAAAATTCTAATGATTATTTTCATAATTGGCATTCTTCTTGCAATAATAATATGACACTAATATCAAAATGTATCTATACATATTTTGTTCAGCAGAAATATTATATAAAATTAAAATCAAAGCTACTTGAATTATTTTTTCCTCTTCATTTTTGACAATTAAATCGAGCTTTATTTCTTGCCATAGTTGTATCATTTTGTTAATAATTGAAGAAAGGTAATAGTTTATTTGATATAAACTTGATTTACTAAGACTTAGTAATATGTCAAGAATCAATATATTTTTATGTTTAAATCATATTTTATATAACAAATTTATGATAATTATACATATAATTTCAATACTATGTGTTTTATTATTGAATGATTGAAACCAATTGATATTTAGCACCATTTCCAAATATAAATTAGCCATCTTATTGCTAAAAAATAATTCTGAGTTTTCATCTTTAAAAGTTTTTCAAATATTACTATTATAGATATTACATAGAAGTTTATCAATGCTTAATCATCTACCCAATGCTAAAGATTAAATTCAACATTCAGATTTTGATATGTTTATGACAATTGATATCAAATAGTAGAATATAGAAAAACTAAATTGGACTGATTAATTACATTTCCATTTAATAATTCTGATTATGTAGACAGTAGAGAATTGCAAGTTTTTTTTTGTTTTATTGTAGAATTAGGAAATTCAATATAAATACACTTCATGATAAATAGTTTATTGTTTTTTTGAAAACCAAGAACATCATTTTGTCTATACAATTTGTAGTATCTTTGACATGTCACAAAACTAATGAACTGGTTTAAAATACAAGTTTATTGTTGACAGTATACAAAGATCCACAAAAGAGCTCAAATTATTTGCCACCAATCTCAATTAGTACCAATTTTATAAATTTTAGCAATGCATTTGCTGTACTATTTGATAAATTAAATCGAATTCTATAGTTCATAATTCACAACAAAATCTATATAAAATGATTATTCAAAATTTGTTAGAATTTGATAAAAATTTATATTTTGGTACCAAATAATCTTTGAATATATCATCTATTTCTTTATTATCATTAACTTCAAATTTATTATTTCCAGAACTTGCATTATTCAATCTCAGATTTTGTTGATTATTGCTTAATACCATAATTCAACTTGATGAAATATTTTTCATTTTGTATCGAAATATAAATTCTTTATTTGTTGAATTTTTGTTCTTTATTTTTTTATATCTATAGAAAAATTCTGTTTGTGTATCAACAAGTGATCCATTGCATTTGCTACAGTTCAAGTATTTTTTGCTTTTTTGAGATTTTTTCTTAAACTTTCATTACTTTCTTAACATTTTGAAAATTGTCAAATAGTAATATAAAGTGGTAAAGTTGTAATTGATATATTAAATAACTTTGAATTATAACATAATACAAGTGTAATATAATAAATAATATAAAGTATAATATAGTATATAACTTCAAATTGTAATATAATAAATAATAGTATAATATTATATACAGTTTCAAATTGTATTAAAATAATATAAATAATTTTATTTAAATATCCCTTTAATTTAATATTTTTTTCTAATACCTAAAAAGTCTGAACAAAAAAAACCAACTGGACACACTTTTTATAAGAACAACACTTTTACCTTTACAATCTTTACAACCTTTCTTGCGATCACAAACTTATTTTATATCATTGTATTAGAAGTGACAACAGTTTGTTCAATAATACCTGGTACCAAATCTTCAATCCTTATTATAACTACAAAATTGCTTAAAAGAAGGTCATTTATTGTATTGCCTGAAATATTGGTATCTGAAGTTGTATAAATATCAATACCAGAAGTTGAATTGCCATCAAAAACTTGAATCAGGGAGGATATAGAATTAAATTATTGTTGAATTATTAAAATTTATCTTTTTTAACCAAATGATTTATTTAGAAAATGAGAAATTATGTATGTAGGTTAAAAAACTAGAAAGAGAAAATACCAAATTTGTAAAGCAATTGAACCTAATGGAATATATTAACAACAAGTTTTTCAAAGAATCAGAATAGCAAAAAAATAAAATTGATAATTTAAAAAAGGAAATTGATCA